GCCTATTGCGCATAGGCATGCGCCCGCGCTGCTGTCCCACTCGCGCGCCCCTGCGCGCTCCGCGTCCCAGCCAGCCGCTTTGCGCGCGTCCTCGCCACCATCCGTGGCCGCTCGACTACATCGCGCCCATGCGCATCCGACACCTCGCGTTCACCTGTTGCGCACCCTTGTGCGTTGCTCTCTTGCACCTCACCCCCTCCATCGACCGTGCACCCATGTGTGGCCTGTTCTGTCCAACCGCGCGCATCATGGGCCGATGCGCGCCTTTTGCCTGTTAGCCGATCACTATATTCCTCCTTGTTACCGCTCGTTCCCGTCAGCTCGGGCCATGGATCCCAACCCTTCAACGTCACACAATCTTCCGCCGGTATCCACCACCCTTCTTCAACCCATCGTAAACCCCGCCCTCTAGCCTCCTTCTTCCGTGCTCATCTCTTCTTTGTACAAGGCTTGCACCAACACTTCTTCTCTTTAGCCTTTGCCTTGCCTTTCCTTCGGGCTTGTTTGGTCTTGCGTCTCTTAGGCTTAATCTTAGCTCGTGGACCACAACTTTTCGGCCAATCCCTCACACATGATGGTCGGTAAATAGGACTTGTAAGCTCCTCTAGCATGTTGTCCAACCATATGTTGAGATCGTCGCCATCCTCACCTCCGACTCACCTGGGTTGATGACCACTTCCGTATCATTCCCCTCCTCTTCGAGACTTTCCTTGTCCTCAAGGATTAGAAAATTTAACGCACCTTCATCTTCATTGTTCGGAACGTTGGCCACCGCAACTCCCCTGGCTTCCATGAGTTGTCGTTCACGCCCCTCCCAATCTCTACGTTCATGAAGCTCCTCCAAAAATTCTTGCTCCCACGGAGTTAGTTCCCTTTCCAAAACCTTCGAGATATTCGAGATCTTCCAGATCCAACTCATCTAATAGTATGAACATCATGACTCTCTTTTTTTTTAAGACTCTTTAAAAATTCGAAAAAGAAGGAGAAATTCAAAAAATTCGAATCTAGGGGAGGAAAAAAAATTAACAAAAGACTAGGTGACACTTTTTTTTTAAGACTTTCGAAAAATAAATGAAATATTCGAACAAAAATTCGAAAATTTCGAACAAAGAAGAACAAAAAAATTAGGCCTCCTCAGAAAAAGGCAAAACCGAAAAAAGAAAAAAGATAGATAGATAAGAACACGATCAGCACCTCTCAACGAAAGCACCAATGATGACGGACCGTGTTTTTATCTATACGGGATTGTGAATAATCGCGCACTCAGGGCCTTCGATTACTCACGATAGGTGTATCTAACAGACGCACTCATGGCCTTCTCCTAGATACCGTGACTTCAACACGCACTAACGGCCTTCTCTCCGACACTGTATGTAAACACGCACTAACGGCCTTGTTTATCACACGTTAAAACATAAAGTTCCCCTCACAATTGGCTCACCAATTCAATACTATATTCAACTCATGTCCAATAATGATGAGGTACATGGGGTATTTATAGGTGCAAAAATAAATCTAAGCCTAATATATTTAGATCTCCTAAATCTAGCAATAATAGATATCCTAATACTAGAAAATCTCCTAATATCTTCTACTACTAATAAATAAAACCAACATGGAAATAAAATCCTAACATAAATAAAATACTAATTAATTGTCTTGCACACCAAGTATCTTGATGCACAAGGAATCCTCTTGCCCCACAAACTCTTGGCCGCCTCACACTTCTCTCGGCCGCCTTATGTCGCGCGCGTTGCGAGGCCTAATCCTTGTCGGTCGCGGCTTTGCTCGCGTCCTCCGCGCACGCGCCGTCTCTCGCGCATTCCCGCTGG